AGCCACTCAACCCGGCCCAGCCAAGTTGATACACAAACATAACCACCACAGTGGCCTTTCATAATCAGTATCACTCTCATTCTTCTGTTGTTGTTAGTTGTCATTGAGTCTGTTCCAACTCATGGAAACCCCATGTACTATAGAGTAGAACTGCTCCATTTATTTTATAAATATAAACTTTTATTGCGATTTGGGTGAAAGTTCTTGGCTAAAATATTAATGGAAATAGCTTGCTAGACCTTTCTTCTATGATTCTGCTGTGTAGGTTCAAACTGCCAATCTTTAGGTTAGCAGTTGAATACAAACTATTTATGCCATACAGGGACCTCTCTTTTCTCCTTAACGTGCTTGATTTTGTTCATAACCCCATCACCTTTTGTACATATTAGATACTTATTTTCTGTTCCTTTCTTCTGGAATTTAAGTTCCATGTGTGCAAGTATTTTTTCTCAACTATTGTATTCTCAGCGACTAACAAAGTATGTCAAAAACAGTAGGAACTTAACAAATATTTGCTGAATGGATTAATTGAATAGATGAGTCAGTGAATGCCATATACAGAATTAAATGTTAGTTGAAAAAATTTATATGTAATGTAAAGTGTAAGGAAGATGTTAGTAACATTAAAGATAGAGTTTGTTAAAAAAAATAATGCAGTTTTTTCCTAAAAATAAAAAGCTTCTAAATTTAAATCTGACCATCTTAGAAGTCTAAATCCAAAGTATTTGTAATAGGAAACATGATCAGGCATGATTCTCTGATTGTCAGGCCAACCCAGAGCTAATCTGGGCCTGATTTGGTATGTATCACCCTGGCACATTCATAAATGGTAGATGATGTGCATACTAACAAAGACATAGAGCTGTAGAGTTTAATTATGTTTAAATTAATGCAAGAAGAATCTGAAGAACTCTTCTTCTTTGACACCAATTAGGGGAGAGAGGCTTCTAAAGAATTAGTCGTCTGCTGATGAGAGACTGGTAATTTATTTGACTCTAATTCTGCATAAATTCTCCAGGTTATTTTGACTTTGTTAAAACATCATGCAAAAAAAAAAAAAAAAATCATAAATGCTGTATAAAGCAAGAGCTTAGCTTCTACTGAGAAACTGATACAATTGTCTTTCTACTGCTTGTAACGGCACTTGCCTTGAACAAGTCGACTTTGCTGATGATGCTGAAGTTCATATCAATGGCCAGGGCCAACCGCATGGTAGAGGGCAGGTTCGCAAGCAGATCGGACTCATCTTCAAAAAGATAAACACATCAGTTCACAAAGTAGAATGGTTAATGAAATGTCACAAAACCATAAATAGAAATGTTTTTGAAGTAAAGGAAACAAAGTGCCAGCTCTTTTTATAAATAAAAAATGCTTCTATTGTTATATTTTTGTTACTTCAACTGATCAGGGGTGGACATACACCCCTAATCACAATAGTGGAAGTATGTTCATGAAAGAAAGATTTATTTCAGTTACTGAAGAAAAATTTATTTAATAACAATAGAACATTATTATTATTATTAGCTAAAATTTAGATACAATGATGAATGATTCTGAGACAAAGGCTTGTGAATAATCTGGGACAGGAAGAAGATCCAGTTCTTGCCTTCTAATTCTACAGATTCTAGCCATAATATCTGATGGATGGCAAATAATAATAATGAGTGCCATGTGGCATTTGAAAGCTTACAGAGCTCTGTCATATTCATTATCTTATTTGACCATCACAGCAACCCTAAAGGTAAGAATTATCATTCCCATTTTGCAGAAAGAAGATAAATAAAAAGAACTGAAGCTCAGAGAGGCTGTAAGTGATTGTGCATAGTTAGTAGGAAGCTCAGCCGGGAATGGAATCCAAAGAAGAATGTGCTAAGTGAGTAAATTCAAATTATTGTTATTTACTTCCTTATTAGGAGCTCTGGTAGCTTAGTGCCTAAGGCACTTGACTGCTAAGCAAAAGGCTGGTGGTTCAAACCCACCAGCCACTCCTCAGAAGGAAGATGGGGCAATCTACTTCCGTAGTGATACTGCCTCGGAAACCCAAGGAGGG